TTAGGGGTTTAGGGGTTTAGGGTGCGTTATACTACGATTCACATACAGACAGGGTCGCCCAAGGGGGCCCCATTTTATCGCATTAGACAATTGTGGTAGTTCTTTGAGCCCCTATACAAGGGATCCAAAGCAGGGTCGAGCCAGGTGGCCACCAAGTTTGCCGCCACCGACGGCAAAGGGAACATCGCCTCCCCAGAGAGCCCGCAGAGTTTTGGAAGCGCACTTCGAACATGGGGCTTCAGTGATTAGAGTCTTTTCAAGAGGGTCTTTGGGGAGGTTTTGCAGCACGATCATGATTATATAATCCTTATTAACGAGCCCTTGTTGGGAATAGTAATTATATCTATTCAGTCCGACCCCGGGATCACGGGTTGCGGGCTCACTGCTGGCTTTGCCATCGTCGAGCAGCACCAGAAGACTTGTTGGGAGTTCTTCTCGAAAATCGGGTAGAGGTTTAGGGTTTAGGGAGTCAGCGTTTAGGGTTTAGGGGGTTTGTGGGGGTGGGGGGGGGGGATCTGGGAATGGAGTTTTACCAGAAAGCGAATCGTACGATTCTTCTCTTGACCGACCCGCAGGCTGCAACCCTTTCAAGCCTTATAAGGTACCCCCTATCGACTGAAACCCCTATATACTGCCATGTAGGATGTTACTTGCGACAAACTGGGGAGCTTCGGTCCAAAGACGCAAGATTTGACCGCGTTTTAAGACGTATGTGAACATCCCATAGAGTCTTCATAGACTCTCTCCGAAACCCTCACCAAACATGAAACCCTGCTTCTAACCGACCAAGAGCCCATGAGCATCCATGAACCCCAAAACCCCCCAAACGGCTTCCCGAAGCCGGCTGTGCCTATGCCCGTGTCGCCGGCCGCCCAAACAAAGGTACTGACTCGCCAGACGTTCAGCGCCGCGGCCAGGAGCGGGGACCTGGAGAGGAGTTTTAGGGTTTAGGGTTTAGGGTTGCTAAACCAAAGTTCAAGGGTTCAGGGTTAAAATCTCTGCTTAGGGAGACCTCCTGGTGTCAAGCGTTCTTCTCGTAGTGGCTAAGATGTGGGAAAGGTTTAGGTTTCTTGAGTTCTCTCTTTCTCTTTAGGGTTTTTGAAGCCGAAACCCGAAACCCGGCAACGCCAATACCATAGAACCTCTCTGCCTCTCAGTGTTCCGGGCTTTCTCTTTCAAGACTCAATGACTCTGTCGGAGCGACTGGGGGAACTGTGTGGGAAGGACAGGATCCTGCACCCTAAACCAAGTTTAGAATTTACGGTGGAGGGTTTGGGGTTTAGGGTGTAGGGGTTTGGGGTTTAGGATTTAGGGTTGAGGGTTTAGGAAGTCTAGGACCCCCAAAGCAGAAGCGAAAAAACACTACCGGGGCGACTTTGAGCAGTTTTTGGACACGACGCGCGTGAACATGCCAGGGCGAAGAAACTTGCCAGGGGGTTGGGTTTAGGTTTGTGTGGTTAGCTTTTCGGGTTTAATTAGGAACTTAGGGTTAGACACGTCGGACTACCTCCTACACAGCTCCTGTCATCATCTTAACTTGGGGCACCAGTCTCCATTGCAGTTCCCTTTTTTGCTTTAACCAAATATAAATAAATAAATAAGTAAATAAATAAATAAATAAACAAATAAATAAACATATATATATATATATATATAACAATATATTTAGGATCCAAAGGTAACCCCAGGAAGGAACTACAACGGGGGCTATCGGTATTTTGGACACCTGGCTGATCAGCGTTGGAGCTCCCAGCTTCCCTACATCCCGAGTGCAATGCAGCCCAGAACTCGACTCCAGCTAATGTGGGGGGCCTTAACAATTAGAATACGGTTTTGGGGTGAAAACTATACTATACAATTATGACAAGGAGCCTCCAAAAAATAGTATAGGCAATTCTTAAGGACCCGATACCATTAAACATAATGAAGACCCCCTAATATCCTCAAATCCCGAATAAAGCCCGTGCAGAACCCTTCAAAGCCCCATTGGAAGAAGATCGAGCCCCAAACCCGAAACCATCAACATTAAATCCCGACCCCTCAATCTTAAACCCTGAAACACTAAACCCGCAAGCCTCAACACTACAAACCCTAGAATCCCTTTCAGCCCCATAAACCCTTATAGACCCTATAAGCGAAGTAAGCCAAGCGCGTTGAGAACTTCGGAGAAGTCTTCTCGCGCAGCGCCCGGGTCAGCAGGTCTGCGTCCAGGGGCAATGGAGGATTCCTGGTGCAGAGTTTTCCTATGAGGCAGCGTACAGGGCCACAGGGATTTTACCCAGATGGGCACAGATGCAAGGAACAAAAACAAACAAACACACACACACACACACAAAGGGGGTTCGCCCTAGACGATCTGGACATATGCCTGTCCGAAGAGGCCTTTCCTGCACAACCAGGGAAGCAGCTGCCGGAAATGGAAACTCCAACATCGTTCAATGTTGAAGCTTTGGTAACTACCAAATAGGAGCCTTACAGAAGGTCTCTATACCTTATGGAAGCCTTATAGAAGCCCTGCATACCCTGTAGCATGTCCTAAAGTTCCTTAGAGCCCAATCTCGAAACTTCCGTCTTGAGCCAGGCTTCCGCACCGCGACCTCCACACGGTATCGCAAGTCCGTGCCTCAGACAATCTGCAAGAGTACCCCTAATATCCTAAACCCCTAATACCCTAAACCCCTAAACTAAACCCCTACTACCCTAAACCCCTAAACTAAACCCCGAATACCCTAAACCCCTCATGCCCTAAATCCTAGACAGGAAACCCTCTCAAGCGAACTCTTACAAACCCCTTGCAACGAACCGCCTGTTGGGAACCCTTACAAGGATTTAGGCCCCTAGATTGCCGGGCAAACATGCTGCAAAGTCTCGGAAGCCCACAAGCGGAGGGAGAAAGATGGTCAGCTGATGCTGGTAGTAGCTGCCTGGCAGAAAAAGGACCAACAAGAACGACAGTAATATACATCATTACACTTATAAAGTGTATCACAATCATAAGAACACTGACAAGAATGTAAATGGTTACCATAACAGTAACACTAAAAATCGCACTGCTTTTTGCAACAATTTTCTGGCTGCTCAAACGTCCTAGCATGCTTTGGGTCGGGCTTTGTCCACGCTTCCGCGGCAGCTGGCAAAGGTCATGCATCTGCCTTAAAACCCACCCCCCCTGTAGGAATGAGAAGCAGTTTCCTTGCTGACGTGCTGTCGCTGTCGTCGTCCTGGCCCTTGTGATCCTGCCGATCTTGTTGACAATGCTGAAAGCTGCTGCTTCTGCTGTTGTCAGGGGCCCTAAACCATACCGGACCAAACCAAAAAAAGTTTCTGGACAGCTGCAAAGCCTTTCAGAGGCACCCGGCTGGCCTTCACGTAGCCACTCCGACACCACCACCTGGCAAAGCAACTTTGCACGGTTCGAGGTTCAGAGTAACTATGCTCTGGGGCTGCACGGAAACGGAAAGGTGGCTCCACGGATAGACGTTTGTAAAGCTGCGGCCATTGACGACTCACGGAAGCGCCAGGAAATCACGAATCAAAGAACCCGTCAAATCCTTTCGCGCTAAACTGTGACTGGATGCTGCCGCTAATGCTGTTGTTGCTGGACTACGCCGACTACAACTACGACTACGACTACGACGACCACGAGGAAGACGACGACGACGATCACCGATGAGACACTCATGCCACTGCTGTTGCTTGTTGTTTCCGTGCCGTCATCGTTCGTGTACCGCCAATTTGACTGGCGTCCTTTGTGTAATGGTGACATCGTGCCTCACAGCGTGGCCGCTCCTCCAGGAACAGCGGCCGGCTGTTCAGCTGACCTGCCATTCATCTCAGAATGACTTCGGAGTGCAGGCTAAAGCTGTAGACAAGTCCAAGCTCTCCACGAAACTCTTACAATCTCTCAAACATCGTCTGGCACATAAGCCACTGTATGTGTGTAGATATATATATATA